CTTATACCACTATACCACAATACCACAATGGTGGTATACAATATACTCCTTATACCACAATGGTGGTATAAAATATATCCCTTATACCACTATAACACAATACCACAATGGTGGTATACAATATACTCCTTATACCACAATGGTGGTATAAAATATATCCATAGGCGGCGCAGCGTTTTCGGATACGCTGAATCTCAGTTTCAGAGCATGGGATCCAGATGAAATTTATGGAGGATGATATTGAGCCTAAATGACGAGTTTTTTCAAAAAATTTTTGCGATCGAAGTTTGCGAAAAAATTTTTAAAAATCTTATTGCTACCCCTAAAAATTTTTTTGCTTTTTTGTAGTATTCCATTTTTTTAAATTCAGTCGTAATCTACATCGAATTTTATCGACAGATTTCAAATTTCACCTAAAAATATGCATCCATTCAGGAGTTATAACATTTTGAATTTTTGTGAAAATTGTTGAGGTATCTGTTAAAGATTCAAAATGTCATAACTCCTGAACGGATGCATATTTTTAGGTGAAATTTGAAATCTGTCGATAAAATTCGATGTAGATTACGACTGAATTTTAAAAAATGGAATACTACAAAAAAGCAAAAAAATTTTTAGGGGTAGCAATAAGATTTTTAAAAATTTTTTCGCAAACTTCGATCGCAAAAATTTTTTGAAAAAAACTCGTCATTTAGGCTCAATATCATCCTCCATAAATTTCATCTGGATCCCATGCTCTGAAACCGAGATCCAACATATCCAAAAAATCCTGCGCCGCCTATGAATATATCCCTTATACCACTATACCACAATACCACAATGGTGGTATAAAATATACTCCTTATACCACTATACCACAATACCACAATGGTGGTATAAAATATACTCTTTATACCACAATACCACAATGGTGGTATAACATATACCCCTTATACCACTACAGCAATAAAGGAATATAGTGGTATTATTTTATTTTGTTACAAATAGAGATGATTTGAAGAAATGTAATTTTGCCACAAATTCAGATTCCCCATCATGTGTTAGACTTTTGTCAGCGTGCAAGCATATTTTTATTTTTATTGATATACTCTCAACATTAAAATATCTGTTAATCAATTGTGAACATTCAATGCAGTTTCTTTTTTTTACCATTACTATTGATATTGGATAGTTCGATTTCAACGTGATATTTCTTTATTTTTTACATCTCTTTGTTCAATATGACTTCTACTATTTTTCAAATACTGTTCCTTATATATAGAAATTCTTTAACAATGGCATTCGAAACGTAACTTTCAATCCACAATTGCTCTTCACAAACTAAGACGAGAGTGCAAACCAAGAAAATAACTCGATACGATTCTTATATAGTTTGTATATTAAAATTTGAGATAGTCATCCGTCTCTAACTAAGTGGTAAACCTATATTCAAGTGATGCTGGAATATTTAATTGCCACCCGCATATTTTCATAAGACTTTTACGAAAACTTTACCTATTCTAGATTGTAATCTAAAAAGAATATTTAGAAAAACAATTCAAAATTTTTTTTTTTTATTGCTACAAATTTATTCATTAACCTTCAAGTGTAAAATAGCGTAGAAGTATGAACAAAAAAAAAATTTTTCAAATACATGATCTTCATAAACAAATCTTTCGTTAATTCTTTTGCAGAATTACGAAGTCATAGGTCAGCTTATGTATCTAGAAAAAGGAAGATAATAAATAAACTAATAAAAAAAAAAAAACAAACGAACATTTTCTTCTTTTCAAAAACTTGATACTACCAACAATTGGATAACTATTGATTATGTATTTTTTTCTCTCTTCTCTATGTTTGAAAATGCTTCCTTACTATACTTAACAATAACAATTCAAATATCTTCTACTAGGATATAGTCTTAAAGAAAATTTTACGTTTTCAATCTAGATCTTTACGAACATACTATGAATAATTTTTATATTATCAAGGAAAAAAAAGTCATAAATTTCCAAATAATCTAATCGATATTTCAATGATTTACTTTCCCATTTATAAATATATATATATTTATCTGATTTAGATATTGTTGAAGACCATTATGAATCGACACATAAGAAAAACAAAATCAATATTTCAAAATAGAAAAATAACACAAAAAATAAAATCAAACTCTCAAAATATAAATATAACGTATTTGATCATGGTATAAATATAGTAAAGTCGAAAATATTAAATAGCAACAGAAAGAATACAACGCAGATGAAAAATATAATTTGTTTTTTTATTTTTATGAAATAACAAATCAATAACAATCAACAACAGAGACATAACTATTTCACTTTTTTTTCTACATGATTTTCTTAAATGAAAAACTTAATTTAACATCAACATAGAATAATTGGAATGAATCAGACAAAATATGACAGAAGTAGAATGAATTTAATACGAAAAACTTAAAGAAAATCTTATGTTCAACTCATTATATATGTGACACCGAAGAACACATGAATAATCAAATTGAAAAAGGAAACAAAGAAAATTAAATTGTAGAAACATAAATTAATATTTCAATATCAATAACAGAATAATTCGAACCATTTTTATCATTTTATTTGACGTTTTGTTATGCATTCAATACATTATCAATCAGAAAAAAAAATGAAATGAATATACAAGACAAGAAAGAAAGAAAGATAGATGAACAAAAGAACAAAGATATTTATTAGAAGAAAACATTTTCTTCTATACTAAGTGTCTTTGTTCTTTTGTTTAACTTTCTTTCTTTGTGTTATTTATCTATTTATTGTTTCTTTCTTGTCTTGTCTATTCATTTCATATTTATTTTGTGACTGCTTATGTTGTGAGTTTAAATTAAAAGGTCAATTAAAATGATAAGAACGGGATGGATCATTCTCTTGTTCATATTAAAATGTTTTCACTGTACATAAATAGAAGAAAATCTATTATTACGATAGAGAAACAGTTGGTTCATTTCATTGACTAGGAATTGATGTTATGCCGATATGTATATTCTAATGAAAGATGACGCTAACTAAAATTTTTCTTTTTTTTGCACAAGTTAGTAAGTCTCTTTTGTATAACACAGATAATAAATATAGATCTTTGCTATTTCCGCCATCTTTTGCTTTCCAATGCACAGTGATTGAGACAGACGAATCAATGAATTTTTTCTTTTCTCTACTCAAACAAACATACAATTTATTTATGATTAAGTTATGTTCTCTTTTGTGAGAAACTTCAAGCATTTCATCACTGAAGAATATCAATTAACAAATATGTAGAAGAGACGAGAATGATGATTACTATCATGTATTTCATTGATTCTATCATCAATCTCATTCACAAAGATTTTAAACGAATTTGATCATATAAACGAAAAAAACAATATTATAATAATTTAAAGACATTATCGTTACAATATCGTATTAAAAAAAATATTCGATAAATTTTTGTTTTATTTTTTAGATGATGACATCTGACTTTTATAATAATTTAATAATATCATCTATATTTCCCTTTAAAACAAACAAACAACCAACAAGATCAAAAACTCGACGTCATCGTTTTCTCGATGGTCTCGCTTTATTACTTAATGGTTCAAATAAATGTACATCAGTTTATCCATTGTTGAAAGAAAAAAAAATATTAATAACATGTAATGAATCATTAAAAACTGATGATAAAATTTATTTTGATGAAATTTTTGGTTTAATAAGAGAATATTCACAATATTGTTTAACATCAAATGAAAATGATATGGAGGAAATCTATTTATTATTAGAATCTATTATATTTGAATATAACAAGAATAAATGTATTAAACGTATCACTGATGATTTATTTAATGATGTTGTTTCAAATCTTAAAAAATTATCAAATGCTAATGTTGATGATTTATGTCAAAAAATTACTTATGGCAAATTAAAAAATGGTTCGCCCGATTATTGTTATTTAAAAGAGAAAAATATTCTTTTAAAAGAATATATTTTAAAATTATTTAATTGGATCGATTATATTACTTCAAATCGACATGCTATAAAAAACAATAAAAACAATGTTGAACTAGAAATTATTTTGAAATTTCAAGTATTTGGTGAATTATTATATAATTCTGAAATATTTCGTTCTATACTATCAAAAGTATATTCAATTGGTAATGATGTTGAACGTATTCTATATTATTTAGATAGAGTATCGGCACATCATCGATCATTGAATTTAATATTAAAAACTTTACACGAACGAAAATCTGAATATGGTGAAATATATAAAAATATTCAATGGTCTTTTATTGAACCAATTAAAACAATCGTTGAATTAAAGACAACACCATCATCTTCATTTGATAAAATTTGGTTAGCATGTGGTTTTGTAGATAATGAAACAAAAAAAGAATTTCAAGATAAATTTATTCAAAATAAATTTAATTCATATGATTCAAATTTAAAATTATCAACATGTTTACATAGTGAAATTCGAATGATAGATTATTTAATTGAACAAAATATAAAAGAAGTTCATGATAATGATGTAGAAATTGGAATATCGAAATTACCATGTTATTTATGTTCATTATATATTGAAAAATTAAATGGTGATTTTAATCGAACGTTTTATATTGGTTCTTTAAGAACTAATGAAAAAATTTATCCAAATTGGATGTTTAGAAATAATGAAAAAGATAAAATAATCTATGATATTAATAATCAATTATGTAAATTTATTAAAAATGAAGTACAATTATTTCAATTAACAATAAGAAACAAAATCGATAATAGTGATCAGCAAGCAACAGAAGCAGCAGAATATATTAATAATCGTATTTTACATCTTAACATGAGGTTTACGGAAGATCTATAAATTTCAATGATTCCAATGGAAATCAGTAACTTTTTTTTGTTTTTTTCGTGTTCTTTCTCATTTGTTTACTTATGATTAAGAGCTTTATGCTAGATAGAATCGAATTAAACTTGTTAAAAGCACTCTATAAGTTGCAACAATTTTAAAACTTCTTTTGGGTGAAACTCAATAAGAATTGTTCACGTTTCTTATTAAAACTATAGATTTTGATCTGATCTATGTAATTTATTTGAAAATATTATTATTTTATTTTGAAAAATTTTCTTGCAATATCGATTGATATATATAGAAAAGATGGTTTAAGAAAAAGAAGAATGAAAAGTTGTTAAAAGAAACTATGAATTTGAAAAAAGTATAGTTTTAATAAAAAAAGTGTAGCTCTTCTTCATAGAATTTTTCTGAGATAAGTTTCAATTTATTTTGTCTGATGTAAAGCTCTCATATGTTAACATATGTTTTTTTTTTGTCGTTCGTTTTTTTTTCTCTTTCTGTGTTAATTTTCTTATGTTTATGATTTATTATATACTTAGGTCTCACTAAAACTTCTGAGATCTGTAAATAAAAATATAAAGATAAGAAGATATTTTTAATTTTGATTTTATCAAATATTGAGGATAGTTGCCATGATTATTTATATCAACTTTAGTTCTTTCTAATAATTTATTAAAAGTTTTTGTTTGATATCTTTTTTGAAGAAAATTTTAGCTACCGTGGATATTGTATGAGTACATTATATTTCATTTAGTTAATTAATTAAATTCCCTTCAAGAGAGCTACTTAATCAAAGATTAGGTAGTATTAGGTACGGCGAATATGACTGCTGCGGTGTTATATTGATGCATTTTCCTGTCAAATAATTAATAACATTGGATGAATATTAAGTCAACGATGGTCCTAAAAGAGTTTTCTGCATTTTGCACTTTATACCTCTTTTTTTTTCAAATTACATTTACAAAAGGTTTCAGACAAATTTCAATATAATACTTATAACATATTCTCATGCCTTTATCTACATTCAGGACTATTTGATTTCAAGCATATATCAAACAAAGTTTATGTTCAAATCTATCTTCATGAGCAATAGTCTTTGAAGATTCATCCTCAATAATCCAACTAGAATCAGTTGACTTATGATTAACCTATATAAAATAAATCTATACTTCATCACTAGTACTACTAGAACCCAAGTGACAATATCTAACAGAACTTCGGTAAAATTTCAAAAAAAATCAAATATGATTAGCTCATGTAGTATCCAAAGTATCTAAAATTTTTTTCGAAAGTGTTCAAAAAACTTTGAATAAATTGTTAGAAAGAATTGAACTTGATATAAATAATCATGGCAACTATTCTCAACATTTCATAAAATAAAATTAAAAATATCTCTTTATCTTTATATTTTTATTTAAAGATCTCAGAACTCTTGGTTAGACCTAAGTACATTTATTTATAGTATTGTTCTTGTAAACAAAGTTCAATTGACTTTTGAAAAAAAAAAAACTTATTAACATTTATTTTTCTATAATATGTCTTTATTATCATAATACAGACAAATATTCAACAATAGATGAGATTGTCGAACAACTAGTAAAATATACGAAAATATTCAATTTGACAAAAAACAAAGCAAGGAATATCATGCTTGAATATTTAAAAATAAAATATATTCTGCTCGAAAAGAATCTTATCGATGATTAACTATTATTCTTATTTAGACAGAAATAATGATTAAAAATTCTCTACTATTTCAATTGTATGTTGAGTTTTTCTTTGGAAAGAATAACAAAAAAAAATTCTTTAGAAAAACACTCGAATAAATCAGTAGTCTCACTAGTTCTATAGACGATAACATATATAGAAATATAAATTTCGTCCGATATTGATGTTTGTCTCATCTCTATTGTCATAAGTAAGGTTCATCGACAGTCGATTCACTTGGCCCTAGACTGACAGGGGTAATGATGCTAATATACTTGTTTATAGATGTAAGCGGAGATCCACTATACTTGACTGTGTATAACAGAACATGATTATAGTGCCCATCTGATAATTATGGTTCAACCAATCGGGACGGAAGTTGTAAAGATTATCTACTCATTATGATCTTAATTAATCGACCAGTATTGATTGAAAATGACGATCATTGTTTAATTATTTATTATGATTAGATTATTGTTCAATGCTGTATCAGCGAGTAGATGTTTTAATATTTTATCAATAAATTAGAATCTTTTAAGTGAGTGTGAACATAAAACTATGATAAACAAAAAACATATTGAAATCATTTGATATAACTCTTTGTTTGACCTGAAACTGTATCATTATAAGTATTTTTTGGGATACATGTTAATATCAATACTCAACTGCGAAAAAACATGCTATGCAAATATAAAAACAATTTGCATTAGATATCGTAGACTATTCACTATTTGATCGTTCGGCTATTTCTATTTCAAAACAGATCATTTTTATATTGAACCATGAATTACAACGATATTGTAAACAGAACACAAATTTTGATAATTATTTTATTTAAGCGCTATTTTTACTCGAAAAATATACTATTGCATTATTTAAACAATATAATTTTTGTTTATCATAATTTTATGCTTCATCCTCACTTCTAAGGCTCTAATTTATAGATAAAACATCTACCTGCTTGTTGATACAGCATTGAATAATAATCCAATAAGAATAAATAATTAAACAATGATCATCTTTTTTTGACCAATATTGCTCGATTAATTAATTAAAATCATAGAGATTAAACGATCCTTATAATCTTCTTCATGTTTATTTGAACTATAGTTATCAGATGGTCACGTGGATTAGATTTCTATATAGTTCTTTGCACCATAAATGGTCGGTTGTACCATACGATTATATGGTCATTTGAACTATGATTAGCCAATGGCTATTTGTATCATAGTTACCATGGTCATTTGTACCACAGTTGCTATGAGCATGCGTGGCAGTTGTTATTTGGTCATTTGTACCATTGTTACTGTGGGTATTTTTAACTATATAGTCATTTGTACCATAGTTACTATGGACATTTTGACCGTGTTACCGACAGACAGACAGAAAGACACAGGTAAATTTCGGTTTCTAGACCCTAGCCTTTCAGTCTAGGGAATAATTGTTAATCAATAAATGATTTTAAATCTATAGAATAAAATGAAGATTATGTTATAATAATTATTATAATAAATTAACTGTTAAAAATAGTTGATAATAGATTTCGTCAATTAATTAAATAAACAAAGCATAATTCTTGAATATTTATAAAAAATAGTTTAAATCTAATAATTAAAGTTCAATATTAATATGAACAATAGCAATAATACAATAAAAGCTATTGACTTTTTTGAGCATCAACAATTATTCGAACATTAGAATGTAAATCTACTCTATTCTACTATACTTTATAAGATAAATTAACTTTAGAATAAGCAAATTTTGTATTTCTGCTGTAAGAACTTATGAAATATTCTATATGAAATGCAGTTTTTTGAAATAATGAAAATGATATTTAACTGAAAGAAGATTCAAACTAAATGATGAATTATAGAGATTAATTTTAGAAAAAAAAAGAAAAGAATTTAAAGAATTAGAAAAGAAAATATTCAAATTATTTAATTAAAACAACATGAAAATAAAGATAATCGATAGAATTAAAAAACTTGAAATCGATGATATGAAAATATAGATAATAATATTTATATTTAAATATTATTAAAATTTAGTTTATTTCAAGAAAAGTAACAAAGACATCGAACACATATCGTTTTTTTCTTTTTATTGAAAACATTTAAATAAAAAAGATTTGTTGGAAAGTCTTTTTTATCTCGATATTTATTTACTTTGGGTGTGGGTGTGGATGTGTATGCAGTGCGTGTGGGTGCTTGGGCCTGTTCTTAAACAACTACACTCACATCCACACGCGCATCCGCATCCACATCTGAAACCTACAGTTATACCCACACCATCGATGTGAAGCTAGCACGACGAGTAGGTACCATGACGGATTTAAGTAATCCTGAAATCCTGAATACTTGGACTTTTGAGGGCGGGATCCAGCTGACAGTGCTCAGCAACGTGTACACAAGCATCCTCAGCCAGATCCCGCCTCCAAAACTCCAAATATTCAGGATTTTAGGATTATCTATATTGGTTGTGGTAACTACTTGTTGTGCTAACTTCACATCGATTACCTACACACCCACACTCACACCCTGCATCCACACGCACACCCACACCTATACTCACACCCTCGACACTCAGAAAACACTTGATTGGCCGAATTATTGGCCCTCAAGATCCTATTTGGCTGAACGTTCTACCACGAAAACACTTGATTGACGGAAATCTGGACCCTGGAAATCCTATTTGATGGGTGCCGTACCATGAAAACACCTGATTGACCGAATTCTGAGCCCTCGAAATCCTATTGACTGAATGCCACAGCCAGAAAATATTTGATTGGCTTAAACTAATGCACGAGGGGACCAATCTCACCGATTTTGGTTTTCTGATGTCATGTAAGAAGCCACTTTGCAGAAGGTCAAAGAAACATTTTTGTTCTGTGCGAACGAACGAACGTACGAACTCACGAGCGCACCCACATAACTCACTCTGCGTAAGACCCTCCTTTCATTGGAGGAAATTAATTTAGATAATTCATCATCAATTTTAAATAATATTCTCTTTTTATTGAAATCAATAAAGAAAAAGCGAGCAAAATAAATAGAAGAAAAATATGAAATCTTGTGGACAGTAACCAAAAATGTTTCTACTACTCAAATTTTGAGTGTTATTATTCTATCTTTTGAGCATTTCAAAATAAATTGCAGTATAACATTCAATGCAGAATTAAATGCTCTATCGCGTGAGATACGTATTTTTATTAGAAGCAATTCAAAATGAATTATTAATCAAAATATTGGAAAAATGAATCTTTATATGATGTTAAAACTACGGTATTTCAGTTTTTTCGACTCTGTATTGAAATCATAGAATATTATTACATATATAGATTTATGGAGTAAATCGAGCTCTATCGATTAGTATCTGATCTGAATGTAGAGATGAAAATTCATGAAGGAAAACATTTGCATCCATAAATATGATGTTATATTCAAAATAGATAAAATGTAGTGTCAGCGATTGATATTCAAGTCTGACGATCTCAACGCTTGCACATTTCAAAACAATGTTTAATATATGATTTCAATGCAAAATTGAATGGACTACAATGCACTATAAATTTTTTTTTTGGTGATTTATTTCTCTCTCAGATACAAGGCCAAAATCCTAAAAAATAAACGAATTTTAATATGCTGGAAAAACACAGTTTTTGAGCTTTTTCGATTCTGAATTGAGATTATAAAGAATCATCAAATATACAATTTTGTAGAGCAAGTCAAGCTCTATCCATTGGTATAGGACTCAATTTGAACAGTGAAAAATTTCAAAAAACTGATAAGTCAATTTTTCATACTTTTTAGCGTGATTTTTGATGATCCTTCAGGTTCCTTGCTTCTAGCGATCCAAAGGTAGTTCTATAGACAGTAATATTTTGAATTCATATATGGTAGATAAGATCTAAAATTTCTATGGAGTCGAATCTACAATCTGTTGACCACCACATTTTCGATATCTTTGGTTTTTTCATGGAGTGTCTCTTAAATCATTTTTTTATATATCAATCGATATTGCAAGAAAATTTTTCAAAATAAACTAATAATATTTTCAAATAAATTACATACAGTCGTGGACAAAAGTCCCGCAGCTAGGCAAAAACTATCTAGATGAAGGTTGTTTGCTTTGAAACTTCTACCATATGAAGAACTCATTGATTCTAGATCGCAGGCCAAGGCTCAAGTCCTAGTCTCTTGCCAAAGCTGAGATATACGGTCAACATGATGATTTTTTTCCTGTCGTGTTATCTCGGGTTACGAAAGACATTTATTGTCGTTCAACCCATCATTGAAAAGCCTAAGCCTTCTTCTTTGTACAGTAAAAGTTTCATTAAAAACGGATGTACTTTCATTAAGTTATGAGGTATTCTCTGAGTATTTACGAAACTAGTATATTAGAACCTCACTAGAATTTGACCCAAATCTCGAGCTAGGATCAACCTTTAGCCTTGAAAATTGTATTGCAAACTGCTTATGTAACCTCAATTCTGCTCTCAAATTTTCAGAAGGAAAGCTATTAGAAAAGTGGAGATTTGCATCATTCTATATCTGAAGACCCACAGCTCTGGGAAATCACTATAACATAGCAGATTAAAGTTTCCTGCACACCATAAATAAGTCATCATCGGAACTATCTATTGCACCAAAAATATTAGTCTAATTCCATCAAATCTAGTAGAACCAGCAAAAATTTTATATACTACTGTTTTTCTCGTAAAATCGAAAAATGATATTTTGAAGGTTTTTTTGTTTTTTATTCAATTCGACTTTGATAAAATCCAAATAATCTCAAAAGTTTTCAAAGCAAATTGTTGTATTATTTCACGAACAACATTTTCTTGTTATCGGCTACTTGAACTTTGTGACAATTCATCTGGAGTTAACTTTTAAAAGGTTTTGAATTGAATCAGATTTACTAAGATGATGCTATATGATGAAATATCATGATAGATATTATTACATAAAAAAGTACTATTCAAATTATTTTTAAAACAAACAATTCGTCCGAAACCAACAGTAGATAAACAACACCGTGCATTTATTTTAATTGTATATTTAACTTTTCGACAAATTTTCCGTTCACCTGGCCGTTGCCAATAAAATCTTTTAATGTCATGAAGACGAAAGACCGATTCATCAGTTGCCATAACTTGATTCCAATCATAATTCATTAATGATCTGGCCCATGTTAAACGTTTCTTCTGATGATGTTCACTAAGAAGAGGTTTTGAGAGAGGTTTCAAATATCGAAACCCCGCTTCTCGGAGTCTTCGACGTATTGTACGTGGATTAACATTAATACCTTCAGCTTGTACTTGTTCTTGCATTTTTTCACTAGTTAATCCTTCATCAACACCTTGTCTTACTAAACCAATAACAATTTCATCATCTGTTGTTGTTGTTTTTCGTGGTCTTCCTTTTCTCTCTCGATCACTAAGATCCTTCGTTTCTTCCCACCGTGTCAACCAACGAACGACTGTTGACCGGTTACAGTTGACCAATTTTGCAATACGATTAATACCGAATTTTGGCCCATATTTGTTTTTTCTGAGAAAAACAATTTCATATCGTTTATATAGTTCAAGAGACATTATAAAGTCAAAAATTTTTATAAAATGACTTGTTTGAAAGTTAACGGTAAAAGAAAAATCCACCAATGTGGAAATGACCCACCACGATATCAAACGTCCAATTATAAAAATAAACCTTTATGTTAGAAAGATGTCGTAGTCTTATAATAAAATAAAAATGATGCCCATAGATGTATTCTCCTTAA